CAACACAGCAAACCTTGCATAGACCTGAACATGACGTCAATAAGCATATATCTAAATATTGTGTTATAGAAAATAAGATAGAGCATACTACGCTTCCTAAGACTGGTCGAGTTGTCAAGCCACCGAAAAAACTTAACTTATAGGAGGGGAGATGTGTGATATTAGAATAAGTGTTGTCAACTATGGTAGGCTTACATTATTATGTAGTTGTTATCAAAATGTTAACTGTCAGCCTTGTCAAGTACACACAAGCTGATAGCAGTGGCCTGGTGTCGGCTTGGCAATAGATAATAATGTTGTTTTTTAGTTCAGTTCTTGAAAAGATTCATACTACATTAGTTCTAGAGTTTCATTCCAACTAATACAGAAAGTATTCATACAGTAGGTATAGTTGTTCATGTTGTAGGTAGTCCAACAATGTTTCTCCTCATCTTATCATTTGACTGGCCTAAACCAAATTTCCTTCCAGTGTGCCATTGACGTCACTGCCATCTATCGAAAAAAAAAACGTACAAATTACATAAACATAACGTTAATTGATGCTACTGGTATCTAGAGAGAATAAAACGCTCAGAATACACGAACATAACGATAATCGATTTTTGAAGACAATAAAGATAAATTTAAAGACCGTTAGAAGATAAAGTACTCTCTGGTACTCAACTGAACACATTAAAGCCGTAATATATTATCCCGAATTTTATTAATAGGCCCAGCTACTGCGCGCTACATTATTTTGAAATTTACACCCATATCGTTTATTATCTTTTATGTTTTCATGTGGCGCACAGGCCAGTCTCAAATATGTAGGTCTTCTCTGTTTATCTAGATTGAGTAATTTTTAAAACGCTGCTAGGTAAATGAGCTATTTTCGCTCGGGAAAATGAGTCCTATACGAGCTAAATATAATTTTTAATTAACTCTCGGTTCTTCAGCGAATTAAGATAGTGCAACGGGGTCAACATTAGGTGACATTGGCGTGCGACTTTAGTGAGTCAATTTCACTGTTTTTGATCGAAGTTGACTACTGTTCATGTGGAAATCATAATGATTCCGCATTAATAAAATAAGTATACCTATTACCTAGCGATGTGGAGAGTCTCTCATTTCTGTCGAGAGCTGTCAAGTTTGATGGCGTTTCGAATAAAATATTACCATTTATATTCTACTCTATTAAAATAGTGCTGGGGAAACTTGAAGAGCACGAAAAGCCGCTTGCCTAATAATTAAAGGCTAACAGAAACAAACAAAATCTTAATTTTGTTTTAAATAGAACAGCACAGCTTAAATTATGCAAGCGGTTTTAGGTATAAGCTTCGTGTTTCCTCTGAATTTTCTTGCCAAGGTTTTAGAAAGAATTTTTGGATGAGAAGCTTAATTGAGTCTTGTAGTTTCTCAGATAATATAAAAATGTTCAATTTCTCTCCTCATTTCACTCTAATCTCAAAAAACATAAATATATCTGAGATAAACTGATTATGTTTCAGGAGATTAAATTCGATATGACGAAGATGTACTTGGCTAATCATTTATGATATCTGCTAGAGCGATCTCACGTAAGAAATGTTTATTCACTTATTTTAATTGAAAATATTAGGAATATAAATATTCATCTAGAAATTTGCTTTATAAGCTAGGTATGTTCGAACTGAAGCAACATCAAACAACGCAACTTTTCGTGATGTAGCATAAAAAAAATCTCCTCTATGTTTCCTCAGAATACCATTTCTTCTTCTACATTGAATTTGAATTATCATTTCAAACATTGCACTAATTGCTGGCCTTTGATTCTCCAAGGAACATCTATTTAATCTACTTCAAATTAAATTATAACTACTGTCTTGATAAATGTTTTCAGTCAACAAGTTCTGTAAAATCGATGAATATGTTACCATGGCGTGCCTAAGCCAAATAAACCTTGTTTTAAATATAGTTACCAAAGACTGATTCCCTTGTGTGCAATTATATTATTTTAGTTTGGTTTGTAACCTACCCTGCAAAAAAATGGGACAGAAATCAAATTTTGTATTAGGTTCAATAATACTTTCAGTAATTGTGGTGGCGCTCTGGGACAGCAAGAGATTTGTGTTCGGTTGTCAGCGAATTGTAAAAGGTGTGATATTACAGATGTGTTTCCTGTGAGCTACATGTGTTTTTTTTATCTCACCACTAATATTATTGTTGGTGAAGAACTGTAAGAAAATAATAATATCTGGTAAGCTAGTTTTATTTATTAGCTCTAAACATATACACATTACAAAAACTGATTCAACTTTATACAACAACTATAATATATCAAAGTACTAGAACGAACGACCGAGAAATTTAGGAATTAATGAATTAAATCAGATAAAATAAAAGTTAAATTAAATTAGGGTGAGGGTGGGCACAATATTTCACCTAAAGAATTGAAGCCTAAGTTTGAATGACCTGCGGGCTGAAATCATATACTGAAAGAATCCTGGGAAAGTGCAGATGGTAAAAAGGTCAAAACGCAATTGGACAATGGTTGTTCGAGTTTTAGAAGAAGTTCATAATAGGACATCCGGAGCTCACTTGGGAGTCGACAAGACCTTGGACAACATTCGTTGCCGATTTTTTTTTTTGATCCAAGACATGCAATTATTATTGACAAAACACTTATTAATTTATCAATTGCCTTTAATGTTTATTGCTTAGTTAGTATTTCTTCTCTTTTTTAATTAACAGATTTTGTCTTTTATTGGCTTTGAAATTCATGATATCTGGTCGCAAACAGACACATTGAGCTTGTTTTCGAAACAATAAAAACAGCATTATAACTCCGATTATTTAACTACCCATATAAATTTCTTCTAAATCATCAGAACACTTGCAAGTGCAATTAAAAAGTCATTAAACAGAAATAAATCTAGCAGAACAGAATTCACTTTCTTGATGCCAAACACTACATCAACGTATTTTATTGATCTGATCTTGATCTTGAAATATTGTGACTGGAAAAAGGTTATTTATAAAAGTTATTCAAGGTTTTTGTTGTGATATGTGCATATCAATTATATTCAATAATAGAAGATGACCTGCTTAGTCAAACTGGATATGGATCGATCTGCAATCTAGGTATCTATTAATAGTATAGGTAATTAATTATAAATGGCAGGATTAGTTAAGGATGGTTAAGGTAAGACATTTAGCGTTTAGCAGATCATTATAAAGATAATATAGTATAATAGTCTTTCTAGTAAGTTATAAATATTGCAGTAATTTAGATAGTCTTTTCTAATATCGAAATGATTTATATCTCACTGACAAGTACTGTTATTTTTTCATCGTTCGTAAACCGATTTCGCGAGTGTAAAAGTAATTCAGTTCTATTGCCAATAAAAGCAATTTAAAGTCGTTTAGGCAATTTTATGCCAATTTACTAACAATAATAATAATAATAAAAGTCACCTGAATTGAACGCATCATACAATAGTTTTATTTCATTTCTATTTTTGATGCCTCTGCAACCAGATACCCAGATCGTACTATACACGGTCTATTTGCGTCATTCAATACCGATAATTTATCTTCTCCTTCATTTCAATATTTCATTGGACAGTTTATGCGGTTTACGGTATTATTTACCACCACATCGAAGAAATCTGTTACATTTTATTTTATTTTCACTTTTAAATATTATATTTTTGTATTTAGCCTAAAAGATATCTGTGATCTATTGAAATGTGTATATGCATCAAAAGACCAAATATTTTAGGTAATTTCTTGGTTGAAAATGGGTCTGGTCAATAATTGGGAGCAACATTTTTAAATATTACCATTTTGGAGCTCTAATAATTAGAGCATCCCATTTTTCAGTAGGTAAACATATTAATCTTATCAGATAATAAATGATAATACATTCTTCTTAAGGATTTTTAGAATGCCTGTCTGAGTAGGTAAATCTTTGGTAAATACTGATAACATCAACTGATCAACACCCTTTTTTTTTGTATAAAATTGCTTTTATTTTGAGATAAAAGTACATTGAAATTAAAATTATTCATGTTTTTTTGTGAAGTGGCTCTTGATAAAAAAACAAAGGCAAGCCATCAATCTTCAATCAAAATCAAATGACACTCGAAGTGTTTTTTCTTAATTCATCCAAAATGTGATTTAGAAGCTCTAAAACCAGCGATTATAAGAAAATGTTTAATTATGTGATCCTACAACTTTTTTAATGACAATGACATTTGTCATGCTTGATAATAATAGTACAGGAAAAAAACTCAAATAAAAAGAAAAACTTCTGCACTTATGAAATTTGAAGTTTAACTGACAGGGGAAATAATATGATATCAACAGTGCAACATGGTTGTTTTGAGGTAAAGAGGGTTCGGAGTTCGGCAAATTTTGGTTAAATGAAATGAAATTGGTAAGGTCGCATTTGTTTTCCAGAATACTCGACGTATACATACTCCCCTTATTTACAGCTACAGCAATAACCCTTTTGGCAGTTGGGAGCTGCTGTTGAGAAAGACAGACGTTAATTTATAATGCATCCTATGTTATACTTATTATTATTGAATATATAAATTCCTAATAAATTTCAAAGCAAACCATGCCCCGGCTTATTTACTATGTTCTTGTAGGCTAAGTTCAATGTGATTCAATATTTTCCATCCGTTCAGATATTCTGATAACTTGCGTGTCCATATAAAATGAATTGGCATGAAACCATAACGATTCCGTTTTTTAGCCGTACCCTCGTCACGAATGGATGGATCAATAAAATGGTTATTTTTGTTTTCAATGTTAAGGTAAAACTGCTCTGTCTGTTACACAATCCAGCCCTTAAAAAACGAATAAATTTTCATAAATTATTTGCACTGTCCCCTTCGGGCCTAGCCTAACTTTGACATGCAAACCGATATTCTTTGTCCCACAATAGAAATAGAAATATGTATGTTGAAACTTCAATATTATAAATATTGTTGAAATATTTTTGTCTAAATCTCATGTATTTTTTTTTGTTCTAGAATGAATAGTTAAACCATCTTCTCAACATGGAGCCACAACCCATAGAGCCATCACCTTGTGAACTCGCCCAGAAATCAGTTGAGGCATCAGGAAGCACAGAATTCAAATCACCATTTGACGTAGATTCAACAATCCTTGATGAGACTGAACCTGAACCAACCGAGTCAATAGTCCACGGTTTTCTAAACGTTACCGTCAACACAACAGTTATAGAAAGGCAAATGGGAGACATAGAAAAACACATTGAAGCTACAGATGTTGTAGATGCAGCTGTAGACCATAAGAAACATTTTTGCGAAGGTAGCGATAGTGGTGTAGAAGTTGTCGATACTGTAGAGTATCATCGCACCTTAAGTTCGAATAGTGGTGTCTCACAGGATTGTGATAATGCTTGTGCAAGATCCTGTGATTCCTCTATCATCAGCTGTTGTTCAAACTATGAGGAAGCGTATAATATTTTGGTAAGGAAAAATTCTACACTTCTAGAAGACTATACCTTGAGAAATGGTGATGTGACTAGTGAAAATGGCAGTGAAAGTTCTTCTTTGAGTGGTTCACAAGGACGATGTAGACGCAGTAATATTTGTACGGCAAAGAAAAAACAAACAGGACTAAATGATGGAAAGAAAAGTTCTACAGCTGGAGCAAAGGACAGGTCTAGATCCAAGCCACCAATGACACCAGCCAAAAATTCGACAACTCCTGCTTCAAGACTGAGAACTACTGAACGGTAAAAGAAACAAGTCAACATGATACAATTTTAAGACCCAATAATATATTTTTTAGATTACAAAACAAACCAACAAACACGTCATCAAGAACGAATTCTGCTTCCAGAAGTAAACCAGTACCTAACAACCTTGAACTCAATAAAGCTACTCCTAAAACGCGTTCATCCAGTCGTTCAAATCAGCCAAATAGCCTAACATGCAGCTTAACTAAATCATCTACTCAGGCTACTCCTGTGGAAGATGGAAGATGGCCATACAATAGACAACCATCCTCAATGACTAGGTCTTTCAGAGGTACCATTGATCAAAAGCCCAAACTATCACAAACTGACAGTAAAACTATTGAGAAATATGCTACTTTGCCAAGAAGAAAAAAAGAGAAGGAAATAAAAGACGAAAAGAAGACAATAAATAACTTGGCACTAGTACACAAAAAGCCCACTCCATCCAAAATGTTTAGCTCATTTTTGCCAAAATCAAAAGCCAAAACGAAAATTTACCATGAAATAAATATCCAAACAGCCTTAACGATGACAGACATTGAAAAAGCCTTTGAAGGAGCCTTGGTCGCAGTCAAAGATCCTGAAGAAACAGATAAATGTTCAAAAGAAATTCAAGTAGATATGCGAGCTAGAGATATTGAAAAATTAAAAGAGCAATTGAAGAATCTGACAGAAAAATATGACAATTTGGTTATGGAACACAAAGGACAGACTGAAAAATTAAGAGAGACTGAAAATAGGTTAAAGGAAGAACGAATGGAGAAAGATGGGTTAAGGGAAGAACTAAATAATAATTCCCAGAGGGTTTTGGCCATATTAGGGCAAGCTGAAGAAGGTGATAGTGAATGTCAAGGTGGGTAAAAAATGTATACTGAATGTGAATTAATAATTTGTATTTAAACATTTTAGAAACAAGTACTTCCAATAGCCTGCTAGTTTTAGAAACTCGTTTCCAAAACGTGAGCCAAGTGATAATTCAACAAGAAGAAGAAATTGCTAGACTGAATAATTTTTGTCGTTCCTTCCAACTAGACTTAGGTGAGTTATACCTTTATACCCAAAATATCAATTTGTGTAGTTTTTTATTATTATAATAAATTTTACATATTGAGAAATCTAATTGTGATGTTTTAATGTAGAAAAAAGCCTAGCTGCACAAAAAACGCTTTTGCAACAGCACCAAGACTTGGAAGTAGAAAGTATGGAATTACAGGAGTTTTTGCAAGCAGAAAAAACAACTCTGACCGACGCTTTGAAAGAAACCGAGACTGAAATTAAAAAATACCAGGTGAAAATTCATCATTTAATTTTTTGTATGTAATTAATTTGTAATGTATTATTCAGCAAACGATATCCCAAAAAGACAAAGATCTGAATGAACGTCAAGAGGAATGCAAGCAACTAGCCCGCCTCTGCGAGCAAAGACGTCTGGAAAATTTGGGTTTGCAAGCCAGAATTGGAAATCTGGAAGCCAAAAGTAGGGAACTCCTGGTTCACCAAGGTAGTTCAGTTTCTGGAGCATCTGTTGCTTTGGCATCTTTGATTGACAGACTCAATGCTTTAGCTGAAGAACTGATAGCAGCTTATAGTATATCTGAGCAAGAATTAGAGGTGAGAAAATAATTTTTCTCAGTGATGGTTTTCGAGCTAATTATGTTATTATTTCAGGATGTGATATATCACAACGAAGCATATAACCAGAGTTGCAGTAGCGTAGAATCAACACCCGAAAAATCGAGAATATTAATTGATCAAAAACCATCGCCAAATGGAAAGGGTAGGTTGGATCAAAATTTTGTATTACATTTTGCATATTTTTTTAATATTTTTTAGGTTCGTCCTTTGTCTCAGCTGTTATAAATGCCATAAAGAATGCAGCAAGTGGCCGTGATTTGAGCAGAAAAGACAGTTTTTATGATAGAAGCAGCTCAACCGAAATGCTAGATTCTGAAACTGAGCCTTGTCTGATGATGGAACATGTATTGGAGGATGTTGTTATCCCTGATGGTAAGAAAATAGAGATATTTACTTCGATTCAAAGTAGGTATTATAAAACTATTTTGATAAATAACTGAAAGTTAACTTCTGGAATGATGTGTCATATCTCATAGTTATTTCAAAAGTTAACTTTCAGTTTATTTGTCAAAATAGTTTTATAATACGCGCCCCTAGACTAAACCAACTTTAGGCCAGCAGGCAAGTAATAAGTAAACGGGGTAGCTGGAAAGTACTCCAAAGTTATTGATATTTTGGCATGTCGTTTGTGGATAGTCTGTGAAGTAGAATCTAAGTTTTCGACCTCGAGGACCCTGTGCTAACTTGGGGGAAGTCGAAAGACCAAGGAATTTTCGAACTTTTTCAGTTTTTTGCTCATAACTTCTAAACCATGCGTTTTCAGCGGAACACACCTATTTATAAAGTTGAAGAAAATTAAATTTCCTTCAAATTTAACTGGTCAAAAGTATTCTTTACCGGAATTGTAACCGAAATACCGGTGTTAGGATACAAAAAAAATCTCATCTTGTCAAAGATATCTTCCCGTCCGAACATAATTGAAACTAAGCATGGGATAAACATCTTTTATCTCAGTCTCAGTCTACTGTGCTCCTGAATGATTTTTTTATTGTATTGTATTTTAATAATTATTTTTGGTTTATTTTCATGATTTCCATTATTTTGATTTTGACGTCATCTGTGCTGAACTGAACTCGCATCTACTGAACATCCACCTTTCTTGGATACAAAAGAGCTATCCTCAATAGGCACAGGAGCTGTTGCTCCTGAAGATGTGAACTGCCACTTAGCTCGAACTATTGGTATCACCTGTATGAAGACCTGTTTGGAAAAAGGGAGTTCTCAAGACATGAAATTGAAGCGGAAAGATAAGATTGTTTCTCTAGCATCTGTTTCCTGTTGTGTGAAAATTAAAGACAGAAAGTTCACAATAGACCCTCTCACTCTCTTTCAACGGATTCGCATAATGAAACATCAGATGATGACCTTAGAAACTTATTGAAATACGAGCTAGCCCCCTTCCTGATGTCTCTCTTCACAGAGGGAGGTATGCACAAGGGCACAAAGTCAATGTTTTATGTGGCATTCACTCCTATACAAGAACCAGTAGACTTCGGCAGCTGCAAATGCGCAGTTATTGATGATGGCATGATGATGCTACATAAGGTTGTGTGAAGCAAATCAAGAGATACGACATTTGAATTGTGCCAGAATTACGTGGATTATGTTCAAAGACACTTCGGGATCGGGAGCAATGCTATAGTGGTTTTTAATGGGTATCCTGTTGGCATAATTTACCAAAGCCCCAAAGCAGTAGAACGATATGGACGATCTTTGCTTTGTGTTTTCCAAAGTTAAAGGGCAAAAACCTGCATTTCTATGCTATTTTTGATAATCTGAGAAATTACTTGAATTTTTGAACCACTATATCTCAGTAACTATTGGATCAAATACTCCGAATATCGACTATTCGAGGTTTTAGTTGCGGTTAACGCGGAAAATAATTCAGGTGCACAGTATACATATATCGTCTGTGTGTCCACGTGAAAGAAATGAGGATAAAATATGTTTATCCCATCCTTAGTTTGAATTGTGGTCGGCCGGAAGAAATTTTTGAGTTGAGAATTTTCCCTTATCTTTGAACCACTGTATCTCGGTTACTATTGCGTTAAATAATACGTTTGACTAGTGAAATTTGAAGGAAATTTAATGTTTTTCAACTTTCTAACAGGTGTATTTCGCTAAAAAGCATGGTTTAAAAAATACATATAAGAAAAAAACTGAAAAAGTCCGAAAATTTCGTAATTTTTTTTTTTTTTTCGCCCCCAAGCCAGCACAGGGTCCTCGAGGTCGAAAACTCAGATTTTACTCCACAGACTACCCACAAATGACATATCATCAACTTCGGAATACTTTTCAGCAGAAAGTACTTGACTAACTTATGGAACTGAGGCGAAAAAAATTGGACATGCGCTGAAAATTTCATAACGAATAACAAAATTATATTAAATATCTGAGAAGCTATACCTATTTAGGTTCTTATGGCGTCGTTTTTCTATTTTCAGGATATTCGCACAATATGATATCGTCTGGACATGGTAGCATGCTTAGTTCTAGACTCACGCACAGCGAAAGCCTTAAGGATGTGTCAAATATTTATTTCAGTCGACAACACTCAGAACCAACCAGCCTTAATACATCTTTTACTACTAGTGATATATTTTCGTTGAGTAAGTGACTTTTCAATTTTTTTTACTTTCGAAAATAAATTTTATTTGCCATATTTTAGGTGAAATTTTTCCAGCAATCTCACTTGTGGACCAAGTTATCGAAGTGGATAATGTAATTACACGGTTACTCAAAGTGATAAGGATCATACAGATTGAAAATGAAGATTGTATGGGTGAACTACAAGGTAAAATGCTTAAAATTAATTCTCTAATATACAGTATTAATATCATTTTTTTTTTCAGATCAAAGAGATAGTTTAACTGAGCAAGTCGATAAACAGAAAGAGACAAATAAACTAGTTGTTAAGCAATTAAAAGACTGGGAAATATTGGGTGCAAGACTGAAAACCGAAGTGAAAGAGCTGATGAATCAGTTAAGCCGGAAAAATAATGAAATGGATTCGATCAAGTCTGAATTAAATAAACAGAGGGAAGAAGTTGAGGTAATACTTATTGAATATCTTGAAGGAATTTCTGAATTTTTTGTTTTCATTTCTAGAAATTCAACCAAGATGTTTGCGATCTCTCCACTGCTTTAGCAAAGGCTGAACTAGAGATGAGAGTTAAGGAAGAAGAAGTTGAACATGAAATCGAAAAGTTCCAGAAAACTGGGGCAGTTCCTTCACCTGAGGTCCTAGCAAGGGTAACTGTTTATGGAAATGAAGTAAGTCCAAAATTAACATTCAATTGAAAATTACAAACAAAATCGTTTTTTCTACAGATTCCTGTCTTGAAAGAGAAATTAGCTGAGAAAGAAAAGCGACTTAACGAATTGAACCAAGAATTTATGGTGGGCAAGCAGGTCCTAACCGAAAGCATGAAAGAAGCTGCGAAGGAGGCTAAAAGACAATATGATGCCATAGATAGTGCTCTAGAGGTAAGTTTTGCAGTAAAATCCTCTCATAGTAATCATGGGTACTAATGATTCAATAATCCAGCTATGATTTCCTATTTTCAACACCAATTTCATTCTTTATAGGTTTTACACAGTATCCAATCTGTCGTTCAACAATGTCCGCCACTATCCAAATTGCAAAGGGATCTTGAAGAAGTCAGCTTCCAAAGTGTATCGTCAATGCCGATAATAGCTCCTGGCGATTGCAACGCTAACGCAGGGCTAATTCAAGCAGTTTCCAATATAGAAATAACCCCTACTATCAATACGACTGCTTAAATTAGACCTAAAGAAATATTTTATAGACATGTTTGAAAAGATAAATTCGAGTTTCCAAATAATGAACACCAGAAAGTCTATAGTTTCAAAATTTGTGAATTTGAATAGGAGCTTGTCATAAAATTATTATAGCATTTTTCTGTATTATAAGTGCATTTGAAATCAAATAAATTATTACTTAGATTTATTCATTGAAGGTTTGTGAATTATTGGAAATTTTTAATAATGTTGATGTAGGTGTATTATAAGCGCTTTCAGAATTTTAATTTTTTTTTTAATTAACCATATTGTTTATGGCCATGTTTATACGTTTTAGATAGGTAATAGAAGTTTAGTTTTAATCATATTTCATTTATAAACAGCACAAAAGAAGAAATTTTGCTCGTTGTTTCAGTTTGCTCACGAAAAAAGCACAATTAAATGACCAAAAAACTTTTTTACAATCACAATCGGATCTCAAATTTGACTAAAATAATGTTTAGATACAAATAAATTTAATGAATTGTAAAAAAGTGAAAATTCATATGATATCATCAATGATCAATCCATTCTAAATCAGTACCTACCAAATCAAATATCTCTGACAAAATTGCTTCTAGCATAAAATTTTATATACCATATATATTTTTTTTCGACAAGAACACTTACATAGGTGTTTTTAAATATGACGAAACTTTTCCTTTTAGTTGCAATAAAATAAAAAATAATTAGGAACGGTTGTAAATATCGCAAAATCGTAATTCGTAGGTCAATTTTAGTGTAGAGACCAAATTCCCTTTCTAAGTCTGATGTAATATGCCACTGTACGTCCACGTTATTGTTAAGAAAATGTTATAAACCTTTATTATACATTATCCAGATTTGCAAAAATATGGTTTGACAATTTTTTGAGAATTGTAAAAATTCAATAAAATTGGAAACTGCTGAATAAACCATACATTTAGCTTTGGCAGTTTTCAATAACTTAGCTGTATTGACATTTTAAGTGAGTCTTATGCCCCCTTTACACGGCGCGTGAACTGGCACTCCACACGCCGTGTGAAGGGTCTGGAGCGGCAAATTTCGCGCCGCGCGTCTGTTCCCGTCGATGTGCGGTAAATTTGACACACTTCAAAGGAAACGCGCCGCGCGTGTTGGAGCGACTCGGGAAGTACAGTCACACGGCGCATGGAGCGAACGGGAGCAGGAAGTTCACCAATAACAAACATTTTTTTGTAATTTTTGATATTACTGGTATAAAGATGTTGTGGGAGAAGGCCTCAACACGCGGTGCCCGAACTTTAATCGAGGGGCGCAAACTTGTCAATTCACAGGCCGTCTGACTGCGACCACACTCCACGCGCTTGGCTTGCCAGTTCACACTTCACGCGCCAGGCGCGCCGCTCCATACGTCTTGTAATGCCCCCTTTATTTGTTTCTTGATATATGAACAGGCTGAATACAAATCATTGGTGTACCGAGAATGAACACAAAAACTTAAATTCCCTTTTTCCTTTTCTCAAAATATTGTATTCTGAAATTAATGTATCACTGTGCTTAATGATTTATTTATATAAATTGTTGAATTATGGCCTACATAAATCTCAATTCTCAAAATTCTAGATTATGCTTTTTGAGAAATATCCACTATACAGAATTGCATTTTATTTTCATTGAATAAACCCAGCCAGTCTGCAAATTTGTAATGTTGTTCTTTTATATACATACCTATATGTTATTTATTATGTCAATAATTATGATTTAGCGATTTATTGATGCTTTCAACAAAATACATATTTTTAGAATGTATTATAATGCCGCCATCTATTACGAATAAATTTTATTTAATTTTTAATATTTGTTTTTGTTTTATTAAACTCAATTACCCAAAGAGCTATAAACGTTTCAAATGTTTATTTATAGTTTTTGTCTATTGACTGAACACATGAAAATGAGTATAGTATTCGAGTTTCTGTGGTAATCATTGGCTAAAAGCCCTCCAATCTCTATGTTAAGGTATTAATTGAACAAGGGAACGAATTTTTAGTCGATTAAAGATACTGAAACTAATGATTATTCAAAAATTGTACATAGGATTGAATTCATACTCACATGAGAAGGTTGCAGTGTTGCCAACCGTACTATAATTATAATATTTGTACTATAAATGAATGGGTATGTCTATGTACTATCAAAGATCATTATAGTACGCCTAAAATACTATAATTATGCATTATCAAATTATTTAGTTTTTTACTGGAAAATTCCTTATTCCAGTTCTCCTTAGCCTATTTTAAGTCCTAATTTGTTGGCTGCAAGCCCTTAATCTATTCACTTCTTAATCCTAATTTGTTGCCTAATCCTACTTTCTATTTACAACAAATCCTAATCCTATTGGTTTCCTAATGTGTTGGCGTGCAAGCCCTTCTGTCTAGTCACCTTTTTTCTTTCTTTTTTTCAGCTGAATAGGCTCTGTCGTTTTAGTATTGAGAGAGCATGTATTTTTTGACAGTTAACATTTTAAATATCAACTGTCAAAAGTGTTAATTTAATATTTTTCTGGTGACTGAGTTTACTCTGTCGATTGTCAATTTCATTGATTTTCCTAAGCCAGTTATTTTATACCAAAAAAGATGTTATCGAACGCACCCCTATTTAATTTTCAAAATTATTTTTAATTTTGTTGTTTTTCGCGGGAAAAATTTGAAATTTTAGTGTAATACGCCCCTGACTTTTCTCTTTTTCTCCAGAAAATGTCATAATTTTTCCTTGAATAGTTTTCCAGAAAAAAAAATAAAATATTAAATGGTGCATTTATGCCTAATTTAGTTAATTTTCATTAATTTCCAATGGGGTTATTTTCCACTGAAAAAATTTGACATTTTACTATGATACGCCCCTGATTTTCTTCTTTTTTTCCAGAAAATGTCATAATTTTCCCTTGAATAGTTTTCCAGTAAAAAAATAAAATGTTAGATGGTGCATTTATGCCTAATTTAGTTGATATTCATTAATTTTCAATGAGATTATTTTTCACTGGAAAAATTTGAAACTTTAGTATGACACGCCTCTGACTTTTCTCGTTTTGTCCAAAAAATTTCATAATTTTCCTTCGGATAGTTTTCCAGAAAAAAAAATGTCAAATGGTGCATTTATGCCTAATTTAGTTGATATTCATTAAATTCCAATGAGGTGTTTTTTCACTGGAAAAATTTGAAACTTTACTATGATACGCCCCTGAATTTCTTATTTTTTTCAGAAAATTAATTTTCAATGAGGGTATTTTTCACTGGAAAAATTTGAAATTTCACTATGATACGTCCCTGACTTTCCTCTTTTTTCCAGAAAATTTCATAATTATCCCCTGAATAGTTTTCCAGAAAAAAATTAAATGTTGATGGATGGTGCATTTATGCCTAATTTAGTTGATATTCATTAATTTCCAATGAAGTTATTTTCCACTGGAAAAATTTGAAATTTTACTATGATACGCCTCTGACTTTCTTCTTTTTTTCCAGAAAATGTCATAATTTTCCCTTGAATAGTTTTCCAGAAAAAAAAGAAAATGTTAGATAGTGCATTTATGCCTAATTTAGTTGATTTTCATTAATTTACAATAAGGTTATGTTCCATTTGAAAAATTTGAAATTTTAGTATGATACGCTCCTGACTTTTCTTTTTTTCTCCAGAAAATGTCATAATTTTTCCTTGAATAGTTTTCCAGAAAAAAAAATAAAATGTTAAATGGTGCATTTATGCCTAATTTAGTTAATTTTCATTAATTTCCAAATGGGTTATTTTCCACTGGAAAAGTTTCAAATTTTACTATGATACGTCCCTGACTTTCCTCTTTTTCTCCAGAAAATGTCATAATTTTCCCCTGAATAGTTTTCCAGAAGAAAAATAAAATATTGGATGGTGCATTCATGCCTAATTTAGTTGAAATTCATTAATTTCCAATCAGGTTATTTTCCACTGGAAAAATTTGAAATTTTACTATGATACGCCCCTGACTTTCTTCTTTTTTTTCAGAAAATGTCATAATTTTCCCTTGAATAGTTTTCCAGAAAAAAAATAAAATGTTGGATGGTGCATTCATGCCTAATTTAGTTGATTTTCATTAATTTCCAATAGGCTTATTTTCCATTTGAAAAATTTGAAATTTTACTATGATACGCCCCTGAATTTCCTCCTTTTTTCCAGAAAATGTCATAATTTTCTCCTGGACAGTTTTCCAGAAAAAAATAAAATGTTAGATGATGTGCATTTATATCTAATTTAGTGGATTTTCATTAATTTTCAATGGGGTTATTTTTCACTGGAAAAATTTGAAATTTTAGTTGACACGCCTCTGACTTTTCTCGTTTTGTCCAGAAAATTTCATAATTTTCCTTTGGATAGTTTTCCAGAAAAAAAAAAATGTCAAATGGTGCATTTATGCCTAATTTAGTTGATATTCATTAATTTCCAATGAGGTTATTTTTCACTGGAAAAATTTGAAATTTTACTATGATACGCCCCTGACTTTCTTCTTTTTTCCAGAAAATGTCATAATTTTCCCTTGAATAGTTTTTCAGAAAAAAAATAAAATGTTAAATGGTGCATTTATGCCTAATTTAGTTAATTTTCATCAATTTCCAATGGGATTATTTCACTGGAAAAATTTGAAATTTTACTATGGTACGTCCCTGACATTCCTCTTTTTTTCCAGAAAATGTCATAATTTTCCCCTGAATAGTTTTCCAGAAGAAAAATTAAATGTTGGATGGTGCATTTATGCCTAATTTAGTTGATTTTCATTAATTTCCAATGGGGTTATTTTTCACTGGAAAAATATGAAATTTTACTATGATACGCCTCTGACTCTCTTCTTTTTTTCCAGAAAATGTCATAATTTTCCCCTGAATAGTTTTCCAGAAGAAAAATTAAATGTTGGATGGTGCATTTATGCCTAATTTAGTTGATTTTCATTAAATTCCAATGGGGTTATTTTTCACTGAAAAAATTTGAAATTTTACTATGATACGCCCCTGAATTTCTTTTTTTTTCCAGAAAATTTCATAATTTTCCCCTGAATAGGTTTCCAGAAGAAAAATGAAAAGTTGGATGGTGCATTTATGCCTAATTTAGTTGATTTTCATTAATTTCCAATGGGGTTATTTTCCACTGGAAAAATTTGAAATTTTTCTATGATACGCCTCTGACTGTCTACTTTTTTCCAGAAAATGTCATAATTTTCCCCTGAATAGTTTTTCAGAAGAAAAATTAAATGTTGGATGGTGCATGTATGCCTAATTTAGTTGATTTTCATTAATTTCCAATGGGGTTATTTTTCAATGGAAAATTTTGGAATTTTACTATGATACGCCCCTGAATTTCTTCTTTTTTTCCAGAAAATGTCATAGTTTTCCCCTGAATAGTTTTCCAGAAGAAAACTGAAAAGTTGGATGGTGCATTTATGTCTAATTTAGTTGATTTTCATTAATTTCCAATGGGGTTATTTTCCATTTGAAATATTTGAAATTTTACTATGATACGCCCCTGAATTTCTTCTTTTTTTTCAGAAAATGTCATAATTTTCCCTTGAATAGTTTTCCAGAAAAAAAATAAAATATTAGATGGTGCATTTATGCCTAATTTAGTTGATTTTCATTAATTTACAATAGGGTTATTTTCCATTTGAAAAATTTGAAATTTTAGTATGATACGCTCCTGACTTTTCTCGTTTTGTTCAGAAAATTTCATAATTTTCCTTTGGATAGTTTTCCAGAAAAAAAAATAAAATATTAAAAGGTACATTTATGACTAATTTAGTTGATTTTCATTAATTTCCAATAGGTTTATTTTTCATTTGAAAAATTTGAAATTTTAGTATGATACGCCCCTGACTTTTCTCGTTTTGTCCAGAAAATTTCATAATGGTTCGATCTCTGTGTGTTCCACCAGGACAATTAATTGGTGGTCATCTGTCTCCAGCAGGATACTATAATTTGTATAAATGTACTATAATTTTATAGCGTTCTATTCTATAATAGTTGATCCGCAGTTGGCAACACTGGAAGGCTGAGGGGGTAATCAGAAACAGGAAAATACCAGTGGCGTACACTCGATCGACCTACGGATGGAGAATCATACGAAAATATACAACACTGTATGATTATTCAAAAACTCTATATAGGAAACTGTATGATTATTCAAAGACTGTACATAGGATTGAATTCATTCTAACATCGAAAGGTTGTACCCGAGTCAAGATAGCATTTTACCTAGACAAAAATAATATAAAGCTGATTTTTGGTGGTAGAGATCATGCCTGAGGGCTAAATTGCAACATACTGAAAGTCCTGGCCAATCCTCCTTCCGCAACCCCCTTTTTTCGCCCACTAACCCTCACCTTTTTAATATTTTGATGATTTTCTCGAAAACTATAAACTTTAAGGAAAAATGTCAGGAGAGCTTTTTTGAAGCTGGCAAAATTTCCCTTGCAATAACGTATTGTGAGCCCATATAGTGCCACGTCGTACGCAACAGTAGCGTATCAAATGAAGGGTTATTTTTGAAAAATATACTGTTTGCTATTTACTCTCAGTTTTTTTTCATCTAAGCATAATTTTTTTAGAAGAAACATATTTTTCTCTGAAACGACCATTGAAAGGTAGTCTACTTGCGAATCCATAATAAGAAGTTTATCGCAATCACTTCAGCCAAAAAAAAATAATTACAAGTTTATCCGAGACTTCTCAGCTATCAATATTGCCAAATAACAGGTGCGCCTAACGCCTTGCGCGACGTTGAGGTAGGTAAGGTTCATTTCACGAAAGGTTGTCCTTATATGACATCGATATGTCATAACTTGGAAAAAAAGGTTTTTAATAGATTGATCCATATAAATTCAATAGCATTCAGATTTTGTATTGTACCTATTGAATGACTTCTGATTTAAAACCCGACGAACGTTTTTGACGTCATTAATTTGTTGCAGTCAATTTCTATTTGTTAAAAAAGGAAGGCAAAAGTACGAACTCTCGTGAAACAAACAGAATCTTTTTTATCATTTCTGCGCTTCTGCAACAGAGTCCAATGGGAAGCGAGTTTGTCACGTGTTTGCGTCATATTTACATTCAGGGTTGGGACTCTGTAACGCATAGAGACATTAGTAGGTAGTTTTCAATTAATCTCGGGGCAAACTTTCTTCTGATACGCTACTGGTGCGTACCACGTGATAATATATAGGCCCGCAGTACGTCGTTTCGGGAATTTTGCCAGCTTCAAAAATGCTCTCTTGACATTTTTCCTTAAAGTTTTCGAGAAAATCACCAAAATATTGAAAGTGGGGGGTTTGGGGGGCGAAAAAAGGGGGTTGCGGAAGGAGGATTCTCCAGGACTTTTAGTATATTAATATTTAGCCCTAAATTATGATATACCGGGTGACAATGAAACTACTACCCATGGCGGCATTTCTTAACGGCTCGAGATAGAAATATGCAACTAGGTTTGTTGATAGGGTGGAAAATTGTGAACAATTACAATATAAAAACAATTGAATGTCTTTTCCGGTTTTACCGGAAATGGCAGTTTTTACGTAAAATACAAACAAATAGAAATTACGACATATTTTCGAGCCACTCTATTTTCAAAAACTATCAATTTTTGACATAGGGTATGTTAGACAAAAATTATTTAAAATTGTTCAGAGAGTCCAAAAAAAAGATAATATACAGGGTGTCCCATTTAAAATAACAAAGTCAATGCCATTTCCGGTGAAACCGGAAAAGACATTCAATTGTTTTTATATTAAAATTGTTCACAATTTTCAACCCTATCAACAAACCGAGTTGCATATTTCTATCTCAAGCCGTTAAGAAATGCCGCCGTGGGTAGTAGTTTCATTGTCACCCGGTATACCAAAAATTAGCTCTAGGTATATTATTTTTGTCTAGCTTCACCCAAAATTTGAATTATCTTGACTCGGGAGGGGGTAGTCAGAAACAGGAAAATACCAGTGGCGTTAGGGTTTCCATACGTCCGGATTTGCCCGGACATGTTTGGGTTTTTAGGGTGTCCGGGGAAGTCCGGCCGGAACTCGGAACAATGTCCGGAAAACTCGGATATCGTGAAAACAACTTATAGCTTTGTTAAATATTTTACGGTTATTAATTATAATATTATTAATTATATAATATTATAAAATTAATTTTCACAGAAATTAAACAAAATTCATCTTTTATAAAAATTTTAGATTATTTTTTTCTACTCTCGTGCGCAAAGTACTCACTTTACGCACAATTCAAAAGATGTAAAGTTTCACTTCATACGCACCAGTACGTAAAGTAATTCACTTTACACACTAGTGTAAGTCATTAACAGATGTAGACACTGTCATTTTTTTTCTAGTAAATTACTTCACGCACTAGTGCGTAAAGTGCAATTACTTTACGCACTTAAAGTATTTGGCTAAAATTTAAATGCAATACGTGTCCCTTCGTCTCGTGTGTCAAATTACACATTCGTGGAAAAAGGTTCACTTTACACACTTGTTGCATAAATAGCTATTTCGGCGAAGTCCGGATTTCTTGACTCCTTTGCCCTGAATTCCGAAAAACCTTTATAGAAACCCTAAGTGGCGTTCACTCGATCGACCTACGAATGGAGAACCATACGAAAATATACAAAACCTTATGATTATTCAAAAACTGTACATAGGATCGAATTCATACTAACATGGAAAGGTTGGGGGGTTAGCAGAAACAGGAAAATACCAGTGGCGTACACTCGATCGACCTACGGATGGAGAACCATACGAAAATATACAAAACTGTATGGTTATTCAAAACCTGTACATAGGAAACTGTATGATTATTCAAAAACTGTACATAGGATTGCATTCATACTAACATGGAAAGGTTGAGGGGGTAGTCAGAAACAGGAAAATACCAGTAGCAGACACTCGACGATTGACGTACGAATGGAGAACCATAAAAAATATAAAAAACTGTATGATTACTCACAAACTGTACATAGGACTAAATTCATACTAACATGGAAAGGTTGAGGGTGTAGTCAGAAACAGGAAAATACCAGTGGCCTACACTCGATCGACCTACGAATGGAGAACCATACGAAAATATACAAAACAGTATGATTACTCAAAAACTGTACATAGGATTGAATTGGAATTCATAAAATGGAAAGCTTGAGGGAGTAGTCAGAAATAGTCTCTCTCTGTCCTAGGTAGAGTAATTGTAAATTTTAGTTAAGGGGCCCCAGCCCGGTAGCTTTAAGTTTACATACAAATGTAATTTATTTAAATGAAGATTTTGGAGTTTTGAGTTGGGTACTAGCGTTGCGATGGTCGCGGGTTCAAATCCAGCACTAACTCCAACTTTTTCAATTTTCCCTTGACTTCAATTTTCACAAAATTTTCTTTAAAGACTATAATTACTGAAAAAAAAAAACTTGATCCAAGATCCAGCATTCAAGATTCATGGTGACCTCTGGCATAAATATTAAATGATGACAGCAACAACCACCCAACATAAAGCGTACATATTACTGTCAAGAAACACTAGCAAAATTATTTGGCCTGGAGATTTCTTCCTTGCGAGGTTACATTTTATTCTTCGAAAAATGGGGGTTTCACCTTAACAGGCCATAATTTCAAAGGTAAGTATTGGAACCTCTTGTTAAATAAAATACTCGTATTATAGGAACAAGTAAAGTAGAAATTCCCTCCATTACTACTATACATAGCGCCACCATTTAGAAATGCACCAAATTTGACTTGGGTTTTCAAATAAAAACATCTTATTCTGTAGTAGGATCTATTTTCACATTACAGTAGGTACAACAAAAAAACTTACAAGAATACTATAGTATTTTTCGTGAATGAAGTCCAAAAGGAACCTAGGCAACGCATGGTAACTTTCAGACTTGATTCCTGAAAGCATAATGGGTAATAAAATGTTTTCAATAATACATATACATTATCATATTAAGTCTTAATTCGTTTACAACTACTACTTACAAATGTAGCTGCATCAAATAACTGAATCATTTGTGTCCCCAAAAATAAATTATAAACCAATAGATGTTCTAGACCACAAAATTTAAATTCTCAAAACATTTTTTTTTCTAAATTTGCTGCAAGTTAGGGTCAATTTTTAATATCTTCAAAACCGAAGCTTGTCCATTTTCTTTTCCCGGCGATTGGATTTCAGCAGTTTGATAACAGTACATTAATTTTAAAATTGTAGATCAAATAATATAAAACACAAAACTTCAGGTATATACACAAATCATCAAAATTGTGTAAATAAAATTGTCTTCTACTTTTATTACTTTTATAGATCATATCACTCAATTTTAATTTGAAGAGAACCACTTATTCTAGTTTTAAAATAAAGAAAATATATACAGGGTGTATATTTCAAGTGATACCACTATTGCTATATCCGAAACGGTAAGAGCTATAAGGTCGGTTAAATTAGAAAAAAGTTTACCTGTTTTTTGCTTGTTTATTTATGGCGCTTCTACTAAGGAAATGTCAATTTCGTGGTGACCCTGATGTTGTCTGGCTCTAGGCCATATCAAAGGTCTAGTCGTTTCAATTTCTTCTATCTTCAATTTTTCTCTTTTGTGAAGGATTTGCCTAGAACAATCGCTGAAGCCAGATATAATCTATTTCTGTTAAAAAAAAACAGCGTTTTCACGAGTCTAACAGACTCTGGGCGCCATTTTGCTAACATTTCCACAAGTGAGCTTTCTGTTTCTCTAGGAATCTAAGCCGGCTTAGTCAAAAAGACCCAACAAATCCAAGGGTGGCGATGAATCTCGGTTTTTACACGCAGAGGTGAGCCCAAATTTGGTCTTACACGTCTCTAGTGCACCACCCTATCCTATAATGTCTGAGCATGTTGGTGTTTTGTTTTCATTTTCACCTGTAGGCATTGGATAAGGCTCTGTACCCAAAATCATTTCTCTAATAACTCTTGTAGGTATATCTTTCAAATCTTTAGGAATTTCATTCTCATAAATTTGTACAGCAACAGGTTCTCTTGAAGATTTTCTTCATTCCCTTTTACCTTCAATTATATTAGATTCATCATCAGCTTCTTTATATCAAAATCCACTACTTCTAGGAGTATAATTATTTCCTTGAAACAACTCAAAACCTTCAGAATAATCGTAGGCTCTATTGAGCTCCTTAAACCAACCGACCATACTCTGGCGAGAACAAAACGAGACTAAATTTTTAATGCCCATTTAAGACTCGTTTACAGTGTTGCCAAATTCCTCTTAGTTTATGAAGTACTAGGAAACCCCTAAAAATATTTCATCAATTATTTCGAGAACTATCAATTTTCGAGACACAATTTGGATTTGAAAGTTTTATAATTTTTTTCGCTCTACAACATGGCATCTTCAAATTTCACATTTGACGTTTCGTGATTGAGCTAACATCATCAACATCATTTTTTTAAATACGGACCTGGATTTTTGATGTCATTTTTAGAAAACGCCCTTTATTCCCTTTTCAACTATATAGCTTTAAAGTATAATTGGCCGACGTTTCTGCTCTTAAAAGTGATCATCAGTGGTTTTATCAAAATTTCACTTTAATTTTTGTTCATAATTAGATAATTTTGATCATACAATTATTTTGTTAATTTTGTTTTAAATAATAAAGGAAAAAAGTCCTTATTAGACCGTCTTTGTTACAAAGAACGAATTCCAAGGCCGAATTAAAGTGAAATTTTGGTAAAAGTGATCATCAGTGGTTTTACCAAAATTTCACTTTAATTTTTGTTCATAATTAGATAATTTTGTTCATACAATTATTTTTTGTTTTAAATAATAAAGGAAAAAAGTACTTATTAGACCGTCTTTGTTACAAAGAACGAATTCCAAGGCCCAATTAAAGTGAAATTTTGGTAAAAATCACTGATGATCACTTTTTTAAGCAGAAACGTCGGCCAATGATACTTAAAAGGTATATCGTTGAATTGGGAATAAAGTGGGCTTTCTAAAAATGACATAAGAAATCCAGGTCTGTATTCAAAAAAATGAAGTTGTGGATGGTAGCTCGATCACTAAACGTCAGATTTAAAATTTGAACATGCCATGTTGTAGAGCGAAGAAAATTATAAAACTTTCAAATTCAAATTGTGTCTCGAAAATCAATAGTTTTCAAAATAATTGATGAAATATTTTTAAGCGTTTCTTGAGGAATCACCCTGTATTTCATAAACTAAAAGGAATTTGTTAACACTGTAGACAAATCTTGAATGGGCATCAAAAAAGGCAATTTTTTTCTAATTTAACCGTCCCTTGTAGCTCTTACTGTTCCGGATATAGCAATAGTGGTATCACTTAAAATATACACCCGTATAGACAGATATACCTATATATAAAGTGAGTGTTATGTGAAATATTATTAGTGATGCAACGATTGAACTTATACGATTACGAGTATTAAACGAAATATCCAAAAAAGCTTTAGGTATTTCCTTAAAAAGTGAAATAAAATAAAACCCAGAATAAAAATGTTTCTAAAATATTTCCCTAAATCGTGAAAAATAATCGGCGATTAGGGTTAATCGTCAAAAAAAACTGATAACAGGATGCATCTTAAACGTAATCGTTTCATCACAATCAATTGCTTTTTTAGCCACGCTGATGAGGCCTGTCATAGCCCGAAACATGTAGTGAAAGAACAACCTCTCAAAAACCTCAAAATGGATGTGCAGTTATGGTATGCATCCTCAAATCCTTAGGAAACTTGAAACTCATATTACACAAAGAACATCTAAACATTTTAGTTCCACTAACATTGAGAAAAGGTGGATTGCGTATTGGCACAGCGACAGGATTCAACCTTTGCTTCGAATGCATTTTCAAATGAATTGTTAATGCATTTTGTTTATCAAATACTCTATCGCATTCGGTGCACTCAAAGCTTGTTCTAACATGCTCCGCATGACGTTGCTTAATATGTGTATTCAAAGTGTCTTGCCTGCTGAATATTGAACTACACCAACTACAAGGGAATCTTTTTATCTGGGGGCTAGCCGAGCGTGATTCAATCACACTCTGCACATTACTGATAACTGGAGTTTGATGTTGTGATTTTTGCTCGAGCAATAGCTTCTCGTGCTTCTTTTGCCTCTCTAAAAAGTCATGGAATCTTTTATGAATGTCATATTCGGCCTGAGTGGTGAAATCTTTGTTACAATTATTACATCTAGGTATCAGCATTTGTGCGTCCAAATCATCGTGATTCTCCAAAATATGAATTTGCAATGCAGTATCATTGGGCAATACCGTTAAACAGTGTGGACATATAAATTCTGGGGATTCTGTACCAGGTTCAACTTTAGGTATAACTGTAGTTGCTGGAGCTATTTTCCTTAAAACCCTATCTCTTTTCTCTAGCTTAGCAGCTGCAGTTCCTCTAAGAGTGTTTTTATATGATTTTCCGCCTTTTCCTTTTCCACGTTTATGCCAACCACTGTGGGTAGTCATAGCGCCATGACTTATGAATCCCTTTCTACAAATAGGACATTTAAATGGTTTATGATCTTTGGTTGTTTTTGGTTTGGCACTCTCAGAATGAGCTGAGTTCATATGTTTAGTCAAATCATTACTAGAACTGAAGGATACTTTACAATATTTACAAGCATGATGTTTTGTTTTCACCAAATGAGTGGGTCTATGCGCCGCTAATTCAGCTACAGATCTAAAAGTCAATTCGCAAATTTCGCATGCGTACATAACACCTGCCTCTTGGTCATAGTCACCAACTTCCACTTCGCTTCTCAAAACTGGCATTTCATCAGTTTCATCACTGTGTTCTTCAGCTTTGTGTTTTGCCAAACTTTCTTGATCGTCTACTGCCACATGACAGAGATCACAAAGTACTTTGCGTTTTTTATTAGACTTATTCGTGATACCATGACTTTTCATGTGTTCTTTTAATTTCCCTTTAGTACCAAATACCTTGAAGCATCTCTTGCATGTATGATAAGATTCATCTTCGTCATCTTCTTCTTCTTCTTCATCTTCATTTTTCGTTGTTTTTATGTCTCCCAAAGTAACTTTTTCATGCATTTGAGTATGTAAATGATAGCCTGCAGGTGTACTGCAAACTTTATCACAATATTCGCATTGTTTTGGATATTCTCCTCCAGTTTTATTTGAATTATTGATTATGTTGTGCATTTGCATATGCTGCCCATACTCTTCACATGTAGCAAAAATTTTGTTACACTGGTCGCATTGTTTGGGATATTTTAGTTTGCAATATAGGTTCTTACAATGGTCCACAAAATCATTCACATTAGTGAATCGCTGATGGCATACCTCACAGAACAAGTCTTTATTTGGTTCAGAAGATTGAGTTTCAATATTATATTCACTAAATCTTTCTTTAAGCAAGGATGTTCCATTATGATCATCCTCATCTTCACTGGCAACAACAATATTATGCCTTTCTAACTTATGATTTCTATATGCAGAAAAAGTAAACGATTGGTTACATTCATCACATGAATATAGTAAAAAGTCATCATAAGGTTCTTCTTCATCATAAATTGAGTCTTCTACATTTACATCATCCTCTTGATCATCATCGCGTCTTGCAAGTTTTGGTGGATCCACTTCTCCTTTTTCTATATGAGTCCTATAATGCCTGAGCATGTTATTTACATTCGAATATTGCTTCTGACAGAAAGGACAACTTGTTGGTGTTTTGTTTGCATTTTCACCTGTCGGCATTGGATAAGGCTCTGTACCCATAATCATTTCTCTAATAACTCTTGTAGGTATATCTTTCAAATCTTTAGGAATTTCATTGTCATAAATTTGTACAACAACAGGTTCTCTTGAAGATTTTCTTCGTTCCCTTTTACCTTCAATTATATTAGCTTGATCATCAGCTTCTTTATGTCTAAATCCACTACTTCTAGGAGTATAATTATTTCCTTGAAACAACTCAAAACCTTCAGAATCATCGTGCATTTCTTCAGCATGCTTTACAAATTCTTCGACTGTATTTGTGGTAATAAAGCATATATCGCAATAATAACATACTGCACAAGAACTGAAATTGTGCATTTTATATTCTTCCAATGAATCAAAAACGCACCTGCACGCGCAGTAATAAGGCGGTTCTCCATAGGCATGAACCTCACTGAAATGTTGGCAGAAATCTCCATGAAAACTGAAAATAAATCTACAATGATTGCATTTGAAATTTTGATACACTCTGGATTTGAAGATGCTTCTCTCTTTCAGACTGGCAAGTTTCTTTAGATTCTCCAAGAAAACACCCCGGGCACATTTAGAAGCATGTCTTGTAAATGTTGATCTATCCGTAAAGGATATCATACAATGATAGCAAGTAAAAAGGGGGAACCATATACGAGTCTCCCTTAAATGTGAAAATAGGTTTCTTCTTGATTTTTGTTGAATGTTATGACAAGCACATTTAAGGGTTAGGTGCATAGTAACCAAGGCGTGGCACTTTTCCAAGTAACAAAGTTCCAGTTTGGATAACCCAGTTTGTGCCTGATTGGAGTCTTTTTGTCTGAGTTTAAGGCCTGCTGCAAATAATATTTTCTGTTTGTCTTCTTGAGCGTCTACGTGATTACTAATGGCTGAAGTGTCAGCAGTAGCTGAGGTGTCGTCATTAGCGGAAGGACCAGCATTAGCTGAAGTGTCAACATTAGCTGAGGTGTCAGCAGTAACGGAAGTGTCAGCAGTAACGGAAGTGTCAGCAATAGCGGAAGTTTCAGCAGTAGCGAGATTGTCTGCAGTAGCGGGAGTAGTAGTAGCGAGAGCGTCAGCAGTGGCAGAAATCTCAGCAGTAGTGGAAGTCTCAGTAGTAGTAGGAGTCTCAGCAGTAGCCGAAGTTTCAGCAGTCGCGGTTTTATCACCAGTGGTAGGAATCTCAGAAGAGGCGGAAATCTGAGCAGCGGCGGATTTATCACCAGTGGCTGAAGTCTCAGGATTGGCAGAAGTATCAGGAGTAGCGGAAGTGTCAGTAGTGGTACGAAATTCAGTTTTGGTTACCAGACCTGTAAATGTAAATAGCGAATTTAACAAAAATCAAAAGCCAAAAACTTCAAGGAAAAAATTTGAAAGGTAAATGAGAAAATCGGAAGAAAATAATAGTTAGATTGAGCCTATTTGATTTGAAGTCACTACTCTAGTGAATAATTATTAATTAACTAACACTGATTACTTCAAGGTTTTCACAGATCAACGGAGGTATCAAACTTGTCAGTTTTAATAGGGCCGAAAGACCTTTATTCAACAAAATCTCACCTGTTTTAACCATAGGCTTGGTATCCATGTTTGAAGTATTAGTATTATTTGAGTCATTCGCCATACTGTTAACGATTCCTGATGTTTCTGTGATCTTTTCCTGTTTGATTCCTGGAATAGATATAGGGATGATAGGTTTTGTCTCCATGTTTTGTTCTTTGTCGGTTTTCGCTGTGGAATCATTAATCACTGGAGGTCGAATATTTTCTGAGAGTTGGCTTGTTCCTGAGGGTTGGCTTGTTTCTGAGGGTTGGATTGTCCCTGAGGGCAGACTTTTCTTTTCGGGATGACTCTTCTCTGAGGGTGGGCTTGTTTCGCGTGGACGTTTTAGGGCTGATGATTTTGGAATTTCCGGCATTCGTTCTCTGCGTTCCTTTTTAGCGTGCAACATGTTTTGGTGGCGTCTACGATTCTGAGCGCTTCCAAACATTCGATTGCATTCAGGACAACGACGATCATCTTAAAATTGAATTATATCAAAATCAGTTTCTTAAATTTTAAGTTTTCTTACCATCTGTTTCAATATTCCTAATATCGAAATTATTTAAATGACTTCCATCTTGAGAATAAGTGTTCAGATCACCTAATTCCTGATTGTCCTGGTTCAATTCTATATCCATGCTTGGCTGCATCCCATCATAAGGTTCTTCTTTTATATGGATTTCAGCCTAAGTAAGATAAAAAAAAATGGAAATAATATGCTAATCTTATGGTTTTTACAGTCTCATTGCTTACAGGGTTGAACTGGTCATTATTGGTCGCTATATTCAGCCATTCGGCCAATTTGATCTGAGTCCTGTGGCATTGCTGCTTGTAGGCAAACCAGGTATCCAGTCTGATAATACAGTCGTTGCAAACCATTGTGGAGAGTCCGTCATTTTTACTGATCTGTAACAAAGCAATTCATGGAAAAACAACGAGCCGAGATAAATCATGAGATATAAGTATATAGGTATATAGTGTTCCACTTTTGGGAATTTTTTTGGTATTCTAGTATAATTTAAGGCAATTGCTATACAGGCTGGCAAGTCAACATCCTATGGGCCAATTTTGTTCCAACATAATGAAATTTTTATAAAAAGTCTTGAAAAACCATTCAAGATTTCCAGCAAAATTTTTGACTGGTATGAAAGTTTGTTGCTTGGCAAAAATTTCATGAGCGAAATTACCAAAAAGCAACAAACTTGAATAAAACCAAGAGAATAATTTTGCCTGCATAATTTTTTCTTGAGTGGTATTCGGCTAAACTATTTCACGAGAAAAATAAACCAAATTTTCATTTGGAAAATTTATTTTCTTTAGGTGACACTTGTCAAATTCAATAGTTTTTTACATTAACCACACAAAATGTTGCCGCTGAAAAACCATCATGTTGGTTTTGTCCAGGTAGGAACAGGTATGAGTTTTGTCAGTAGGAAACCGGCCTATCCTATGACATTTTGCTAGTGTAAAACACTCCAGTGAAATAGTCAGAAAAAAATCGAACAGAACGATTCTGAAAAAACTTGATTTTTTCAAAGTACTTATGTTTATGACATACAATCAATTGTCCATAAGTCTTTGCTTTTTTGATAGGAGTTCTTCACTGTCAGGCTCGATCAAATTTTACGATTCTGATGGATCTTCAAATTCTTAAATACCGCCATCGTCTCCAAATCCAATATTTTGCCTAATATCTTTAAAATTAGAAAAAGTTCCACCAACTGAAGACGCAGCAAAACAACATTGTTACAGGGCATACTATCAGCTTTAAACTTGGCTCGAGAACAAACTAATAGAAACCTAATGGAGCTGGAAGCAACACCAATATGAAATTATGCCTAAATTGACAGACAAAGAATAATTGATTCCTGAAATATTGTTTAAAACTATTTGCTGCAGCTGTGACAGTGGGTATAACAGTCAAAAATGCGGCTGCCGCAAACACATGTCATGGTTCTGAAAGATGCTCCAATATTGAAAAAGAAATCTACGAGAACTTAGTGATTTCGAAGAAATTAGGGAGGATGAACCGATGAATATTAGGCAAAATATTGGATTTGAAGACGATGGCGGCTTTGGAGATTTCGAAGGATATTTAAATTAGCATTTACTTGAGTTATAAAATAAACAAACATGTAGGCAACAATGCATCATAAGCAAAAGAGAAAAAAAAAATTACACCTTGATCTGTGATTGCAGAAATTATCCTCAGAAGAAGGGATAAAAGAGGTGTAATCTCAGAATAGAGTCAATATTAAATAGAAAATACACAAAAGGAGCCATCTCAAAAGAGAGTAGCGGATAGATTCACGATTAGAGTAGATGAGACCTAGGCTGTAACGCTAGGTAAAATCTTGGTTCGTAGCGTTGGAGCCATAAAGATGAAACGCCTGAAGGATTGGCTAGGGAATCTTGCATTTGCAGATCAGCGGATGAATTCCCAAACAAAGAATGTGATGTTCTTGAATTTAAATACCTGGAAAAACATTTTTACAACTTGCATTGCCAACGAAAATTTAGACCAGTTGTAATTCAATGTTGGTAGGGGTATTTGCCCTTGACATGATCAATTCTAGATTTATTTCACCACAGTATCTACAGCAAATTGCCATTTACAGACACATCTTAACAATCTAATCAATTTAATCAAACCTTAAATATAAAAGTACAAAATAAGTATAACACATGAAAACTTATGTAGCCATTACCAGTCGGCCTGTTCCTGAGATTCATGCAGGAGACGCCTTATAAGAGTTCATTCGAGGAAAATTTAAATAGAATACCTTCTTCTGTGTGGTGCCACCTACCTTTATGGCAAAGGGTAGCTTTGCAAGGAAATCTGGGCATTCTACTTGGTTTTTAAAGATTTTAAACATATAGGTCAGACTAATTTTTTTCTTCTATTTTCTAGACAAAGCCTATTGAAAAGTTTTAGCAGGGTGCAGTGACTGTAACCTTGTGGAGGATAGTACCCATATCTTTTAAGAAACACCGTTTCAGGAATTTCCTCTGAATTCTTTCCAATGACTTACTTCAGGGCCTGTATTCTCGTAACCGGGGAACAGCATTCGTGAGAGAACAATTTGCTCTGTCTTAGTCGCTCATATTGTTATTTCCATATTACTGACAAAGACAGAGCAATTGAGAACGCTATTTCCCGGTTACGAGAATACGGGCCCAGACCTCATATAGAGGTGACCAGATAATGATTGCATATTCCAGTTTGGGCAGCACCAGACTATCAAACAATCTCAGGCAGACCTCCACATCAAAAGCCTTGGCAGTTCTGATGATGAATCCCATCTTCCTGTGTGCCTCATTAATTTTGCTTCCAATATGTTCTGTAAAGCCCAGCCTCTTATCCAACAAAACACCCAGGTCTTTTTGAAATGTTTCACCGCTGACAATGGATCATTAATTTTGTACTGAAACAACCTTGGATTCTTTTTCAGTGTAAATGTAATTTTTGCGCATTTATTGATGTTAAAATTGACACCGTTGTACCTAAACCAGTCAACAACCCTACTCAAATCTCTCTGCAGACAGTCACATTCATGCTTTATAATCACATTTAAAAACACTTTAAGATCATCAGCATACAACAGTGCATTAGAATTTTATAGGCCAAGACAAATGTCATCAAAAGCTGTAACAAATAACAGTGGTCCCAGATTTGACCCCTGTGGGACACCAGAACTGGAGGAATATATTTTGGATTTGGCTCCCATGATTTTGACATACTGTTTTCTACCTCTCATGTATGATGTTATTAGGTTCGTGATTTTGGAAGGTACATTTAGATTAATAAGTGAGTTAACAATCACACTATGTTTAACATTATCGAATGTCTTTTCCATGTCAGTATAAATCACATCAATTGTTCAAAGCATCGTGAATATATTGGAAAAGGTTTATTAAATTAGAGACGGTTGATTTTTTTGGGAAGAATCCATGCTGACATTGAACAATGCTGTACTTGACACTATCATATATTCTGCCAAACAACATTATCTCATATAGTTTAGATACCGCACACGGTATTGTAATTGGTCTACAATTCCTGTTTCATTCCACTTTTGATACTGGAATTACCTTGCTCGTCTTCCATGCCTCAGGGTAGGATTCAGACGCATAACTCAAATTATACAGAGATATAACAAAGGCAAGTTCAAACAGACAACACAATCCTTGAGGATAAAGTCTGGAAGCTGATCCGGTCCTATTGCTCTATTTCCTTTCAATTTTCTTGCTGCAGTTTTAAGTTCTTCCTCATTAAATGGGAATGTGCAAAAATAATCTTCCACTTTCACACATTTACAATCCAGTGTTTCTGTTCTAGAAAACACCGAATCGAAATATTCCGCAAAACCATTAGCAATACTACTAATTACGCTCCTGTCCAAAAATACTTAGGATTCTCCAACGTGCTATTACTGACCTCACTTATGTTGTATGCATTATTGATTTCCTTTTTGACCAAGGCTCTTACTTTTTTAAATTTGTTGTACCCCTATATTAATTTATGTCTTTTGTACTTTCGAAAGTATGTTTCCTAATTTTTTATCAATTTTATTATTTCTCGGTTAAACCACACTGGGAATGACCTTTCGACTTGAGTAGCCAGGGGAACACAATCAATAAATATCACATTTATTTTCATATAAAAAACTCTCAATGCATCATCAACACTCTTACATTCGTACAGCTTATACCAATTCACATTCTGAAACATATTCTTCATTGATCGGTAATTAGCTTCCTTAAAATTAAACTTTGTTGTTTGAACTTATTCACACTCAGTCCATTCACACTCTCTATCAATACTTAATATAATAATAGTTTAACTCATGCATAATGTTGGATGATGTTGGTCCACAGGCAGTAAAGGATCATCATCAGTGACCACCTCACAGTTCTGTAAACCAGAGCTAACAATGACCAAATCCAATAATACATTGTTCGCGTTGCGCACGTTGTTTACTTGTACTAAAGTCGCAAAAGCTATGAAACTATTAAGTTCACACTTGTGCGCATTGACCACCCCCCAGAACAGGGTCTGGTAAGTTAAAATCTCACAAAATAATACAGTCATGTTCTAAAAAATTATCCTGTATGCAATTGTAAAACTTACGATACATACTTAAACAACTACCACGTACAAAATAAACACCATTAAAAAGACGCATTTGTCATTACATAACCTAGCCTTAACACAGATTGTCGACAAAGTTCAATGTAGGTCAATTTTATCCTTCAAAGAAACCGTCAAGGAGCAGGTGCCCATTTTTCTAGTTTCCAGGCGTCAGTTGGATCATCAGAAGGTATTCACCAGCAGCAGATGTTGGGCTCTGTGTTGAGCAAGTAAATAGTTGGGATCATGGAGATAATTATTAAAAGTATGATGGAGAACAAGATCTAGATGACATTACTTCCAAAGACATCAAGAAAGACATGGTTCTATGATGGGCTCTGAAAGGCAGATTTGAAATTACATTGGTGCGGAGAAGCCGTCGCTACTATTGTCGACCGGAATTCGTTTCCATTGTCTGCAGTAAATAAACAAGAATTTTACAGAGATTAGTCCACTAAACGGTTTTGTATATAGTGTGTCCAAGATAAGGATGGGATAGCATCAGATCTGGGGAACGATTGTAGTTACAATGTTGATTAGATTAGGAAAAAGTTTTTTCCTTATAAACAATTATGACTTTCTCACTACATATATTTGAAGCATTCAGAGCCATACTCAGGAGGTTTCTGTATTTTAAAATATGGCTAAAAGAATCTAAAAACATATTCAAATTATTACAAGTGTAATATCACTTTATTCAGAATTCTAAATGGCTTTGAATTTTGTAAAAAAAATAACAGAATCGTATTGAAAAAAATTAAGTTGATGATGGTTTCTAAGAAACAAAACGTCGCAGTGAAAGTATGTGAACGTCATCTTGTTGAGCTTAAAATGTGACGACAAAAAAGTGTTTTTTATTTTTTCATATCTGTCAAAAAAACATCAGAAATAATTAAATGCCAAAATCAAAAAAATACTTTTTCCTACAACTGTCAAAAAATGATGATGTTTGCACACTGATGACAATTTGCGAAGTGACACTTTTTTCCCAGGTAGATTTTTTAACGTTCCCATGACGCCGTGCGCGAAATGATTCTCCAGTGTGCGAAATGCCTAGTTCGCACATTCAGGTAACAAATACCTGAAACCTGACAGGAAACCAATACTTATTTTTGTATCTAGTGCGCGAAAGGCTACTTTGGTGATCGAGATCTGATTTTTTTAACGAGGCGCAGCCGAGTTAAAAAAATAGTCGATACAAAAATAACTATTTAAAATCTGTATCGTAATGAAGTTCATTATGATACAGATTTTAATCGTTTAATAGCGTATTATGAAATGTCAGTAGAAAAAAATAATTAAAATTCACCTGCCTTCGATTGTAAATGCAATTTAAGCTTCGAATGATCGATATTTAAATGGAGTTGTAGAAAAAATATTGTTTGCAACTCGTGCGCGAAATACTTTGGTGATCTCGACTATTTTTTTAACTCGGCTGCGCCTCGTTAAAAAAATCAGTTCTCGATCAACAAAGTAGCATTTCGCGCACTAGATACAAAAATAACTATTTTAAAAAAAAAAAATCGAAATCGGAGAAAGAAATCCCAGTCCTACAAACTTCAAGTGAAAGGTAGTCAAATTATTGCCCAACTTTTTCCTTATCCAACCAACATTGTTACTCCAACTGTTCCTCAGATGCTAATGATCCCATCCTTATCTTGGACACACTGTATAAAGCGCGTAGTTTGTCATTGGACGACAAGTTTGAATAAGAGAATGGTTTTATACAGTTAAGTAAAGTGAGTGTGTATAGGGAATTTTGAAAAATAAAATAGCTGAATAAAATGTGTTTGCTGTTAGTGAATGAGAGTTTTAGTAGACCCGCGTAATCACTGGGATTTTCAATTTGGAATTCGTAGTTTCTTTAAGGGGGTCATCTCACTGCAGAGCGATCTGAGGACTGTGGAGGTGTGGACTGGAAATTGGCTAATGTCGCTAAATGTCGAAAAGTACAAACTGCTGCATATCGGTCCAAACTACCCAAATACTCAATACACCCTCTTTGGAGAAGTGCTCAAAGAGGTCGACCACCAAAAGGACCTTGGAGTAGTTGTGACAAAAGATCTTAAATGGGAAAGCCACATCGCGGGAAGAGTAAAGAGAGCAAACACGTCGAGAAACACGTTCATATATCTTGTCTAAAAAGCATTTAAGGACCACTCCTGTTCAACAATTATGAAGATATAATAATATAAAGCATATATAAGACCGATGCTTGAGTTTGCTGTCAGTTCGTGGAACCCATACTACGTAAAGGACATTGAACTACTGGAGCGCGTACAGCGACGTGTAACACGAATACCAACCGAACTTCCGTATGAAATTCGATGCTCCAGGTTAAAGATACCCACTCTAAGAGAACGCCGGCAAACAGGCGACTCAATACAGACCCACAAAATCATGTCTGGATACTATAGCGTCCAACTAGATATCTTCGTAACCAGAGGCGAAACGATGCTTAGAGGACACTCCAAAAAACTCTCAAAAGAAAGATGCGCGAAGCTTGCTAGACAGAACTTCCTTACCAACCAGGTAGTATATGTATGGAACACACTCAGCCAAGATACTGTGGATACCCCATCCTTGAACACTTTCAAAAACAGACTGGATAGAGACCTTACACATGTGAATCCCGAATTTGTACATTATTACGTTTGATTGTTATGATTATAAAGTGGCAGTTTTTATCGGACTTTCCGCCTACTGTCTTACTGATAATAATAATAATATGTAATAATAAAAACAAGAAGGGAAGAAGGATGCCATTGTTAGAATTCTGATTCTACAAAATATCAGTAAAAGAAGTACCTAATTCAGCGATTACGTCAAAAAAATATGCCATATGTTACTGATTGGGAATGTTAAATCAACATTATTGGGTCATGATGAATTTTTTGATGAGCTTTTTGGATTGTCATAGTACCTACTTCCAAAAAATATAGTCGAAAATTAAATTTAAAATTCTATTTGATATAGGGGATATTTTGAATGATGATATTTATGTATTATTGAATATTGATGACTACAATTTAAAAATAAAAATTGAATATCTTAATGAAGAGCTTGAAAAAGGCAATTCCAAAGAAAAAAAACAAGTTCTAAGGGAATATTATAAAACAATTCAAAGCTTTTCTCAACGCTTCCCGTAATCGGTTGTGGAGCAGAACGTCAATTTTCCAAAAATTAGATGAGTAATTAAAAACAAATAAAAAACAGTTAAGTACCTATTTCAAATTTACAACATATCAAAATTCAAAAAAAAAACAATTTTTTTCTTGTTTGCTCTACATATTCAGAACATATTGTATTCGATTTCATATAATTTACTATCTTCACTCAAAAAATGTTATCCCCTCGGTTATCATTTTGCATAGGAAGCTGCGTTGTTACGTTTTCAATTTCATTTCGTTTTACCTGTTGTCGTATTTGGATAGAATTAATTGGTGTGGGCCACGAAAATTATTAAGCGTAAGTAGATCCGCCACTGGGCGAAAACCGAGGCCGAAAACATTCTAAATCATACAGAGAATAAGCTGCGATGTTTTCCATTAAGATCTAATTTTCTATAAATATTTTATAGCATTACATGTTTCTCACCGTCCCCGCCCAAGAACCCAATAATACACCAAACGCTGCGAATCATTTATAGTCCAATAAAATACAGATCTTTATCGCAGCCTCAACAAAATCTGTAGTGAACTGACAAACTGCAATCATAGCATTAAGTTAAAAATTCAGTTGCATCCTACCTGTATTTGAACAAGGAGAATGACCTTTTGAACATAATGTTGCGATACTAGCTCATCGTCAAAAAACGATTTCAATAAATCCTTGTTATCACTTAAACAGAGTCTGCAAATCACATTGATATCCACTGGCCTGCCCGGCATTGTCGTTCACTTAAATCCTATTTGAACGAGAAAAAGGGCTCTTCTACAGTATTTTTCACCAGCTCACACCAACTTTCCTAACAATAAAAATCGGCAAATATGAAGAAATAATATCGGAACACGAACAGAAAATAATTAAATGTCGACCTCAATAAAATTTTATGCTGATATTTAGGATTGTAGCTAAACCGAAACATATAATACCCTCGATAATACCGCCATGTCGTACAGACTAAACTTGAAATGATGAAATGGATAATGGAACATCGGCCGGAGATGACGGATTCGGCGCACTTGTGCATTTGCAGGATATATTCTTCAGCTTCGAGAACGTCCGACCGGATATTTTCATTGTTTCTCAACATTGATTGCATTTACAATAGTTAAATTCTTATCTCACAAATTACAGTATCAAACACAAAAACAGAAATTAACAATTAATTATGACATAAATTATTGGATTATCTTTTGTAATGTATTTCTTATCAAAAACATTTATCATTAAGTTAAAGACATAAAGTAATTGAAATATGCATTAAACAAACTGTAAAAATATATATACCAAGGTTGTCATTATTGCCAATGACTTATAATTGTTTTACTGCAATCTTTAGTTTTCGTTCACCAGAGGAGGTAAACTGGTCGATAATGTTGGAATTGGATGGAACAAAATGATACGGCGCAGTGAAAGAAAGAGAGCTTGAGATCTATTCAAGAATATGTGTTGCAGCATTATTATAAATGCCAGGGAATAACGCTTCTCATGTATTCAATTGTAATTTGAATTGTTGCATAATTATTATTCTACCCTAATAATGTGGGTGGGACTTTTTTTATGTTTTCCATATAAAATGTTAACTTTTAAAGGTTTGTTTTATTTAATTTAACATCTACTAAAAGGAACTATTTATTTTTATCAAATGAAACAGCTTACACGCCGAGTTACAGAAGCCGACTGCCTTGGCCTTCCTAAAAGGCCACCCTTGTACCCTTAGAGCCTGGGTCCCCTCAGGTCTAGCGTTGCCTTTTTATTTGCATCCGGCATTGTCACTAGAAATAAGGTGTTTTGGACTACTCCAAGCTAGCTGTCAGGGATTCACTCACTCTACCAATAATAACAACTTTTATTGGCCAATAAAACTTACTGATCACCAATAAATCGACAACTTCTGGCCCAGCACTTAATATAAATTACAAGGTGCTAAAAGTGATATACAAGTCACATAACTTTTAGCCTAATAATTTGTCCAAAGTGTGACCTTAACATTTTAACTGGGCATTACATATAAGTATGTGTGTCTGAGCGTGTGTCCATGATAAAGATGGGATTAGATTAGGAAAAAGTTGGGCAATTTGAGTACCCTTTACATAAAGTATGTAGGATTCGGCTTTCTTTTTCAGATTTCGATGTTTTTTGAAAAAAGTAATTTTTTCGATTCTGGCTTTTATTTATTTCTGACGTTATTTTGACAGATATCAAAAAATAAAAAACATTTTTTTCAATGTCACATTTTAGGCTCAACAAGATGGCGTTCACATATTTTCACTGCGACGTTTTATTTCCCAGAAACCATCATCAACTTAATTTTTTTTAATACGTTTATGACAAAATTCGAGGCCAATAAGAATTCTGAATTAGAACTAGGTGATATAAAGGCCCCCATAGACGCTCAGTTATTTTGCAAAGGCCGACTGCGCAAACCTGGTTTGTGCAGGCATTTAGGCACATCTGTGGATATTTCCGGCCGACTGTGCAGGCTGTTGGCGGTCTGCGTAAATTCAAGATCTGCTTGAAATTAGGCCTGCACAAACCATTTTTATTTTAGAGAAAAAATATCCTTGAACTGCGTTTGTCGTTTTGTGTGGAAAGAACTGTGCTAAAAACTGAGCATGTGAATGAATCAATGAAAAAGTGTTTTTTATTTTTTGATATCTGTCAAAATAACGTCAGAAATAAATAACAGCCAAAATCGAAAAAATAACTAGAAACTTTATGTAAGAGGTAGTCAAATTGCCCAACTTTTTCCTAATCAACAACATTGTAACTTCAACCGTTCTCCAGATCCTAATGCTATCCTATCCTATCTTGGACACACGTAAGTATATCGCAGTTAATTAAAAAGCTGGATTCCATTTGTTATGGTGGAGGTTATGGTATATTGGTAAAATCAAGGGTAAAATAGAAGGCAGAAACCTGTAGAAACACATGAATGAGTGCTCATTGGAGATTTTATATTCTACTTACCTTCAGTTTGAGCTTAGGCGGGTGTAAATTGGGCAACAAAGGACCCCGCAATATTTACCTAAATAGAAATTGGTTACCTGTGATATTTGGATGAAATTTAAATATGTTATTGGAGATGCAGTAAGCAACATTTGCTACCATGGGCGCAACCTTGTATATACGACAGGTGAGGCGGTATCACTGATCTAAAAAATAAATGGATAAATAATCGTACGGCTCGATTGGCTAAACAGTAAACTTGTGCGAAAAGGACCCTGCAATATTTAAACGGAAATTGGTTACCCGTGACATTTGGATGAAATTTAAATTAGTTAAGTATTGGAAATGCCGTAAGCAACATTTTTTACCATGGGCGCAACCTTGTATATATGACAGGTGAGGCGGTATCAGCTGTCAAAAATTGGAATCTAATATTCAAAAGCAGGGTAACTCTGCCAGATTTTGATGAGGCAAGTATCGATTCCTAATAAGTCGACCAAGGAAAATCAAAAAATGTCAACCATTTTGACATCTGTCAAAACCCTGCCAAACGACAGCACTCATATTTTTCAGTTTTCAATATTTCATGATGTGTCATTTGACAGTTTCAACAATGGTTTCAACTTATGTAAATTCTAAGTTCAAAAATAAAATAAAAAAATTACAGAACTGTCAAAACCTGTCATTTTTTATAGTAAAAAAAAATCCAATTTGGCTCTTTTTCGTTTGAAGGTAGTTTATGGTGATAAAACATTAAACCAAGCTCATAGACATCAAATTTTGACAGTTGCCAGAATCTGACATTAGCTTTAATTGAAAAAAAAAATTGAACTCTAGTTCTGTTCCAATTATTTAAGTTATGTTTATTCATTATGATGCACAAAAAAACTTTATACTTACACAGGTTTCAGATTTTGACAGCTGTCAAAATTTGATGTTTCTGAGCTTTGCTTAATGTTTTATTACGAATAAATTACCTTAAAACAAAAAAGAACCAGAAATGAATTTCTTTTCTTACTAAAATTAATGACAGGTTTTGACAGTTCTGTATTTTTTTTTCCAATTCAACTCAGAATTGACACAAGTTAAAACTGTCAAATGACACATCATGAAATATTGAAAACTGATAAATATGAGTGCTGCCGTTTGGCAGGGTTTTGACAGATTTCAAAGTGGTTGACATTTTTCCATTTACCTTGGTCGACTTAGTAGGAATCGATACTTGCTTTATCAAAATCTGCCATAGTTACTCTGCTTTTGAAAATGAAATTCCAATATTTGACAGCCGATACCGCCTCACCTGTCATATATACAAGGTTGCGCCCATGGTAAAAAATTTTGCTCACGGCATTTCTAATAACATATTTAAATTTCATCCAAATATCACGGGTGTTGGTTGTAGGGTTTTAGTTATTTGGTATTATAGTTAGTTAGTTTAAGGTAAGTGGTGGGTTATGGTTTATGTTTTATGGTACTAGGGTGTAGGTGTTTCGGACAACTGTTCTAAATTTTGAAATTCCTTCGTTTTCATTGGCCAGATTTTGTGTAAGCATAGTACATGTATCTACTGCGCACGCTCATAGCTGTCCCAGTCAGTTAAATTGTTTTTGTTTACAATATGACCTCGTAAATTAGCAGCATTAGAAGCGTACCATTTATTTTTGAGATCAGTGGGCGATAGCAGCTGTCAAATATTGGAATCTAATATTCAAAAGCAGAGTAACTATGGCAGATTTTGATGAAGTAAATATCGATTTCTATGAAGTCAACAATTTTGACATCTGTCAAAACCCTTCAAACGGAGCACTCATCTTTTTCAGTTTTTAATATTTCATGATGCGCCATTTGACATTTTCAACTTATGTAAATTCTGAGTTCAAAAATTGAAAAAAAAATACAGAACTGTCAAAAACATGACATTTGTTTAAGTAGGGAAAAAGATTCCAATCTGGTTTTTTTTCGTTTTAATGTAGTTTATTGGTGATAAAACAATAAACAAAGCTCATAGGCATGAAATTTTGACAGTTGTCAAAATCTGAAACTTGCATAGGTATAAAGTTTTCCATGCTTTATCATGATTAAGCAAAACTTTTATTGGAACACAACTAGATTTTAGCCTTTTTTGATTATAGCTATTGTCAGATCCTGACAGCTGTCAAAATTTGATATTTATGAGCTTTGTTTAATGTTGTCACCAATAAACTAAGTTAAACCGAAAAAGAACCAGATTGGAATCTTTTTTTCTAATAAAACAAATGACAGGTTTTGACAGTTCTGTAATTTTTTTTTTTTTTTTAATCTCAAAAGGTCTGTTTCTGAAAAAATCACAAACCAGTCAGAGCGAATTTCATTGGTTGAAAACAGTCATAAAATTAGTTTCAATCAATGAAATTCACTCTGACTGGTTTGTGATTTCTGCAGAAACAAACCTAAAATTTACATGAGTTAAAAATGTCAAATGACACATCATAAAATATTGAGAACTGAAAAATATGAGTGCTGCCATTTAACAGAATTTTGTTTGACGGATGTCAAAACGGTTGACATTTTTCTGGTATCTGTGGCATTCTCTAACTCAGATTAAATTGAAAAATGCAAAAACGTTTCCTAATATATGTATGTAAGGAAAAATAAAGAGTTTCCATAATATAGTCTCACACAGGGCAATGCTGGAAACTTTTGAGATTCAAACATTAGCCAGTAGAAGAAATGAAGGGTGCAGCTGCAGAAGTCACAATCTCTGTCATAAGCAGTTTCTGGGAAATCGCAAAAAACTTGTCGCTTAAAAACCTTAAATTTTTTCTTAAAACTTATAATATATCAAAAATCGGAAAAAAAATTAGCTTTTCGATGGTATAAACCAAAATGCGATATTTTGAAAATTTTCCAAAATTTTTCGAGGTTTTGTTTGGATAATGTGAGTTTTGCAGCGAAATCTTCGTTTAAGGTTCAAGTACTCTCCTATTAAGGGACAATATGATTTATGATACTTCCAGA